GCTACAGCAAGTTCCAGCGCAAGGACCGCGTCACCAACAACGGCATCGCGACGACCGAATCCAGCGCGAGCGACCGCGAGAGCGAGCCGTTCCAAGCCTCGACGAGGCGCCAGTCCTTCTCCAGAGCGTCTGGGAATCGTCGAACAACAAACGGAGGACAGAGAAGAAGCCGAGCGCCGAGCACCAGGTTCGTACCGGCGACTGAATCCCAGTACTTCGAGGAAGAAGTCAAGTTCCGCCCGTTCGGCGCACGAAGGGACCGGGAGACCACGTCTACGCGGCGTCGCAGCGGCCGCCTGGACGACCCGAGGCAGCAGCCCGCGCGCGGCACATCCGCCTCCAAACCCACGCCGAGTAACGTGCGAACCACAGTCCTCACCATGTATCTCAGCGGCTCCGAACCCGGGGAGTTCCACACTTCTCTCCGCACCGTCACTTTGCGGTCCCTCCAGTCCACTCGCAACCGCCGAGACGTGCACCACCAGTCGACCACCAAGATCCTCCCAACCGCCACGGAAACGCCAGCCGCGGCAGGATACACGAAAGCCCTTGAGCTGCCCAAAGCCGCGGACCCAAAGGAAATAGTCCAGGTCCTGAAGTCCTTAGACTCATCCCAGGTCAAACAGATGCTGAAATCGTTGCAGAAATGGGTGGACTTCTACAGCCACGAAGTCCTCGACGAAGCCCACAACAACATCGTTCCGGAGCTGACGTCGTCCCTCAGCCTCGAGTCCTCAGGCGTGGAGAACGAGGCCACGACAGAACTCAACCTGACTCCCACAGCCGTCACGGGTTCCCCTTCAGCCACGAACAACCTGTGCCACGCGCCCCCGACAGTCACTCACACCGTCTACCGCACGATGGTGGTCACGACGACGGTCTCGGAAGTCTGAGGAACTTAGGCTGACCTGAGACGTCCAAAACGAACCTGTCAGGATGTGGCGACGTCCCCTCAAGTCCCTCCTGGAGAGCGGCAGGCGGGGGACCCCAAAAGCCCGGTGGTATTTATGAGTGCGAAATCCAGCCGAGGTTGGCATACCAATCTTGGCTGGTATGCCGGTGCTGTATATAGCTGTACTGTATGAATCTCTAGCCTGTACATAGCATGTGCGTGTTCTCGTGTGGTCGTTGTGTGCGAGTGAGAGACCCACCCAGCTCAAAGTAATCCAAATGCCTCAAGGACGTCAAGGAACACAGGGCCCGCGCCAAAGACCAGCGGCTCCGCGTGTCATGACAAACGTTTAGTGTTAAGTGTTATCCCTCTCACGTAGGTCTAGTTCACGAAGCTCTTCCGGTGGTCACGTGTCACCCCCTTTCCCTGTTGGCCTCTCGTAAGGAACTGAAACAGAAAGAAGTGATTTAAAAACCAGAGGAGCCGTGACGCCAGCAAGGTACTGAATTTCATAGGAGTCATGTTTTGTCCAAGTTACGAGGAAATGCGAATTAGAGGCATCACGGGTATTGCTGGGCGTCCGAAAAGGGAATCATCTGGAAAAAAAAGAAATCAGTGATTCGGCAACAAGCAGATTCGTAAACCTTCCCCGAACAGAAAAAAAATAAAAGTTTTCAATAGTTACAATTTCCGTTTTGAATGATTCAAATTACTGAACGAAAGTCGTTTTACGTATCGAACAAAATTGCTCTGTAACAAAAACATGATTGCATCGGTTCAGTGACTATGCTGTAGACTTATCGAAGTTAGAAGCAACGTTGATTTCCAGCCAGTGCTCTTCCAATGCTATGTTGGAAAAGGTTCAATATTGGTATGTATCATATCAGGTCACTTTCGGAAATAAAACTAATTGTCATATATATTTTCTTAGTCAATATGTATATCATTAATATTGGAATGATATCTCAGGAGAGTTTTAAGTAGTACCTTTTTTCTGTAGAGAATATTCACCTACAAAAACGTTCATAAAAAATAGACTGAAAAATTATAAAAATGTTAATCAGATGTCATATTTCACTTCAAAATATTTTTTTTTTTGCCAGCAGTATTTCCTCAGATATCATTTCCTTCGATTGTTATTCATAAACCAATGTATTCTCGAGTGTATTCAGTATTGTATGTCTTGTTAATTCTGTAGAGTCTATAATATTTAGCCAACTTGAACCGTGTGTCCGTTTAGAGACATTTCTTTTTTATATACAATTATTATTTTTCTCATTTATTATCATATTGCTCCGAGGGGCATTTTTTACGAAAGGTTTGATCATTTGGAGTTTGCAGTAGTAAATCTTGCAATTTTGTAAGTATTATGTTATTGGTTTCAAAGAGATGGACTTAGGTATTTTCACTGATTATGCTACTTCACCAAAGCTGATGCCAGGACTTTAAGCTTTGTATATGATATTGCTTTGATGGAGTGAATCTATTTCTGCAACCAAATAATAAAGTTAGATTTTTTTTTTTCAATTTTTTCATAGATTACTCGAAGGAAATTCCTAATCGACAATGTAAGATATATGTATAAAGTTGATTATCGAAATTCAGGAAAAGTTTGAGATAAAAAAAAGTAGTTGTAGAGACCTTAGTGGTTCTAAAAGAGAAAAAAGAAAATTATGTGGAATGTGTTATTCATTGATACTGTGTCACACTATTGATTAGGAAATTGAAACAATCTTGTATCCGAATGTGTTAAAAATCCCTGCACTGGGCGTGTGTTAAATTACTTATAGATTTAAGGTCTATTTCTTTTCAGAGAGCACGACGAAAAAAAAAATGATGATAGATAGAAAGAAAGAAAGAAAGAAAGGAAAGACCGATTGGCATGAGAAACATTATATTGTTTATCATGTTGATTAAAAGGCTGAGGAAAACATACACAAAATGAGTTTATCGAAAGAAAAACAACCTCTTCCAAACACTTTAGTTTGTGTATCATTTTTTCTCTCGGTCATTCAATTATCAAATTCAAATTTATATCTAAAAACCAACACGAAATCGAACTTTTTACTTTATTTTATTTTTTGTATAGTTATCGGCGACGAGTAAGAACCTCGTCAGTCCCTGTATATATATATATATAAATATATGTTTCCACAAAGTCTTTCTTCTGCGCCGGAAGAAGGCGGGTGACATTGCTCAAGGAGGAAGGTGTGTCTCAAGTGCACAAGCAGTCTTGGGAACTGGCCATCATTGTCAAGAACTGAAAAGATGTTTAATTTATTATTATTGTTTTTTTTCTATTTTTTTTGTAGTTCTGTATCTCCTTGTAATAATTTTCTTTTAAAAAGTTATAGACGGAAGGAAGGTTTCAATTTTGTTCAAGATATGAGAACAAGAAATGGGAAGAGACAATTTGACCCTCTGATGAACTGTATAATCATGATCATGTTATAGATAATATTATTGGACAAACCATTAATAATAAAAACGCATTTGAACTTCACATGGTAACAGAGAGAGAGAGAGAAGAAGAAAGAAAAAGAAATTCTATAACGATCATGTTGTTATGAATACTATTATTGGAACAAACATTAAAAAAAAAAACGTACTTGAATTTCACATTGTATCGGGCAGAGAAAGAAAGAAAGAAAAAACTGCTGTCACGCTGCAATTGCCAGTGTCAATGTGTGCAATAGAGATATATACTAGAGAGAGGAACCAGCATGAAGGTCAAAGAAAAAGAAAAAAAAATAAACTTTTTGCGAACCCGACTGGAAATGCCAAAAAATGTCTTGATTTTCCACGAACCTTCCAAGAGATAATATTAAGGACATACTCACTTATCTCGATCAATTTTATTTACTTTCATCGTTATTTCACTAATAACTAAATTGTAGGATAATGTATATATGACTATTTTAAGAATATGAATAAACATTTTCTAATAATTTTGTTTTCCTTTCCTTTATTGTCTATTACATAAAACTTCTCTGTGTTGATATAGGAGGACATACAAGAGCGAATGTGCGCGCGTAGACACACACACTCACACACACACACAACACCACACACACACACACCACACACACACACACACACACACACA